ACCAAAAACGGTCGCTCCAAAGACACCGAGTCCCTTAAATCACATCCAGGATGACGAATGAATTTAAATTTGGAAATTCCCGGTTTTCCGGTACTAATCTAATAAAAAATCCCGGTTTACAATATTCAATAAAAAACGAAAGCAGTCAATGATTTTTTCTAAATGTGACCAGTTCAAAACATCGATTTTGCTCCACCAAGCCTAATCGATTTTAAACTAGGTCCAGGAGATACTCCCAAAATTTGAGCAAAATTGCGAACTCATACTGCACTGGCCCTATGAAGTTTATATCGGAATTACTATCGGAAAAATGAACTTTATGCTCTCAACGCCCTAGAACTTCGCCATAATAATTTACGTAAAAGCTTGCGTCAATCCGAATGAGTAAGGCGTACGGCGGCATGCAAACGGCGGTGATACGGCTTTCGACAGTAGCAGCGAACAAGCTGTTGGAGACGGGCATGGTCAAGGTTGGGTGGTCAGTATGCCAATCCTCGGGTTACCAAGCAACTGGAGCGATGCTTCAAGTGCATGGGTTTCGGTCACCAGGCGAGGAACTGCAATGGCCCTGACAGATCTGATCTGCGCAACAAAGTACGGCGTTGTAATCTTTGCGGAACCGTATCGAGTCCCTCCCGATAACGGTAACTGGGTGGCGGATAGAGCTGGGATGGCTGCTATACAAGTTATGGGAAGATACCCCATTCAAGAAGTGACTGCGAACTGATACGAAGGTTTCGTGATCGCCAATATTAACGGAATTTGCATATGCAGTTGTTACGCACCTCCGAGATGGACGATGGAGCAGTTCCACGAGATGCTGGATGGACTTACCGAACAGCTGATCGGACGAAGACCGGTAGTCATCGGAGGAGACATCAATACTTGGGGGAAGGAGATGTATCAATGCAAGAGGGCACAGTCTGCTGAAAGCTCTGGCAAAGCTTGAAGTTATGTTGTCTAACGAAGGCATCAGCAGCACTTTTCGCAGAGATGGTCGGGAATCCATTATTGCCGTAACTTTCTGCAGTCCGTCACTAGTGGCAAACATGAATTGGAGTGTGCGACTATCAGGCGATCCGATATGGCATCAGCCAACCGAATACTGTGGTAGTACAAGAACTTGCGACCGAAAGTGGAAGAAGAAGGCTTTCGACAAGGATATTTTCATTGAAGCACTCCGTGTAGACAGGGGCCCAGCGGATCTGAACGCGGACGAGCTGACAGAAACGTTAGTGAGACCATGTGACACGACCATGCCGAGGAAACTGGAGCCAAATAACAGACGGCGTCCAGCTTACTGGTAGAACGAGTCACTTAGCACACTCCGCGCTAGTTGTTTCAGAGCCAGAAGACAAGTTCTGAGAGCAAGAACAGAAGCAGACAGAGAGAGGAACGAAGAAGAGTGTTTCGAACGGTCAGAGACGTACTTAAACGAGAGATAAAGCAGAGCAAGTCAAACTGTTTTAAGGAGCTGTGTCGAGACGCTGATGCCAACCCCTGGGGCGACGCATACTGAGTCGTGGTGGCGAAGACCAGAGGACCAACGATGTCCAGAGAAGCTGAAAGTCATCGAAGCATGACCCAATGATCTGGCCACCTACACCGTACGGAGAGGGAAAGGGAGATAACGTCGAAGTCAGCAACGCGGAACTCGTAGCAGTGGCGAAAGGATTGAAGATGATGAAAACTCCCGGTCCGGATGAAATCCCCGATGTGACGTTGAAAGCGGCGATCCAGGCGTACCCGGACATGTTCAGGATGGTGCCGCAGAAATGCCTGGACGAGGGCCACTTACCTGACAGGTGGAAGATACAGAAGCTAGTGTTGATGCCGAAACCGCCGGGGGATCCAGCATCGTATAGGCCTCGCTGGATACGCTTGGAAAACTCTTGGATAGGATCATCCTAAACAGGCTGATGAAATGCACGGAGAGTGAGCACGGATTGTCAGAGAGGCAGTTCGGATTCCGGAAAAGGAGATCAACGCCGGATGCTATTTGGACAGTGATCGAGAGAGCCGAGAAAGCTTCCAAACAGAAGCGGAGAGGAGTTCAACAGCGCTGCATGGAATGAGGGTCCCTGCTACCTCTGCAAGATCCTGAGAAGTTATTTCCAGAGCCGGTTTCTGGTCTACGAGACAGACATGGGACAGAGATCGATTAAGATCACAGCAGGAGTTCCACAAGGCTCCATCCTTGGTCCAAAGCTTTGGAACGGGTTGTACAACGTCGTGCTACCGCTGAAGCTGCCCAAAGGAGTGGAGATCGTTGGCTTTAGGGACGACGTCGCCTTGACGGTAACAGGCGATACGCTGGAAGAGGTGGAAGTTTTAGCAACCGAAGCGATCGACATGATTGGTAACTGGATACAAGGAGCGAAACTGCAAATAGCCCACCACAAAACGGAAGTGCTATTGGTCAGTAACTGTAAAGCGGTGTAGCGTGCAGAAATCACCGTAGGGGAGCACACCATAGCCTCAAAGCGTGCGTTGAAATACCTGGGAGTGATGATCGATGACCAGCTAAACCTCAGCAGCCACGTCAAATGTGTCTGCAAGAAGACGGCGAAGGCCATTAACGCGATAGCTAGAATGATGCCGAACAATTTCCACCCAACGCAGTTCCTGTCTGGCCACGGCTGCTTCAGGAAATACCTCCCAAGTAACATTTCAAGTTTTATGGAGGTTTTAAAGCATGCAACTAGTCTAAATCATGGTCTACAGAACCCTTATAAAACCGAAATTGTTACTTGGGCTGCATAAGGACTGAGTCAAGTTGACTGGCACTCTTTTTTTCCCATACACATTTTACCCCATACACATTTTTCATAAAAACTAGAGTTACTCAGTGCTATGAGCAACTCCACTTTTTACGAAACTGAGTGAAATTGATGTGGGAAAAAAGTCAACTAAACTGAGTCTTTGAGTTACTCTCGACGGGCGTGTGTTTGTAAGAAGGGTAAAAATGCATTAATGTTCTGTATAGATCAGTGCACGGTCCCTAACCTCACTTTTTGCTCCCTATCATTTTGCTTCTGAGTAAAAGAGATAGCAACGAATGGGAGCCAAAACAAACCACCCAAAACTGTCAAAACTTACGGGTGAGAGAAGAGTGTGGCAAATCTTCGTGAACTGATCAATGGGGCCTTACAAATTTGTTCCGTTATTTTATTTAAAAATGTTTCGTAGTTTATAAAGAAAGTGTTCTAGTTCATTTATTTAGAAGGCTTACGGAGCTGATAATTCATTGTTCATTCTATGTAACAAAATTTACTTAATTCTATGTCTAGTAGGAGTTGGGCCTAATACTCGCGGCTTACCCGAGGTAAGAAATTGTATGCACATTTTGAAAAATCTATCGATGTTCATGAAGTTCACACCTTATTCACTAAAACGGCGCATTGGCGTGAAAAGATCAAACTTATCGTAATCGTTTAAAAAAAAAATGGCTGCATTTAGAAGCTTCGATTGTAATTTCAATATTATTGCGCATGTTGCATCACTTTAGACTCCTGTTCAAAAAATAATTTCAGTAATATTTTCGCACAAGCCAGAACATTGAAAAATGTTGAATTATTTGAAAACAATATCAGCTTTATAACAGTATTGGCGAACTACACTAATAAAGTCGAGTTCAATATTTAAATGAGTGTACTTATTATTACAGCAGGAGTCAAACGAGGTGCGAAATCTTCAATATATTAACGAGAGTTTACTCTGTATTTAATAAAAATAAAAAAAAAAACCTCAAATGATCAATCCGTTCCATTGATTGCAATACTTCTCCGAGAGCTTATCAATGACCAACATTTCTTTTTTTACGGTAAACCAGATCGAATGTAGACAGCTCTCACATTATCAATCGAAATGAGTTTAATTGCCCAGCAAACAAAGAAAAAACTTATCAATTATTCACATTCGTTCGTTTGAAATTCTTGAATTCTATGCTCAATTGACAATTGTGTCCATGTGCGCGAGATGGCGATACGTACGGTTCTATATAAACCGATTTGAAGAGAGTACGGTTGCAATTTCTTCTCCACAGGCACCACGATCAACGCGGTTGTACGACGGCAGTGTGGAAAGAAACTTCAAACCGTACGGAAGCACAACGGCGCGTGTGACGAATCGTTCGATTAGTGATCTTTTTTTTTTCTAAAGTAAGTTTAAGGTACAAGTGCCGCCGGAAGAAAGTTTAAAGTGAGAATTTAAATGATAGAACTATCGATATTTGTAACCACTCGATTTAATCAAAATTGTTAGGCAATATTTTTGGAGAACACTCCGAGAAGAAAACGCTTGAGTTGCAAGTTATAATGTCGTGTGATGGGAATATGCGAACAGTAGCTCAGAAATATGAGTTGCTTCAAATATACTGTATCTGTTAAAAACTATTGAATCAGTGATAAGCAAAATATTTTGCGAAATCAAAATCGCAACCAGTGCATAGGAAAATCCTGGAATTTGTTTTAGAAGTTGTGAAGTGATGACACAAATCGACTTGGAAAAACAAAACAACTGTTTAATATATTAACACAGTTTGACAGAGGGAAACAATTCAAAATGCGTAACCTTTGCGTACCCACGCTTGTTCACTTAAAACAATTGATGTTGCTTCCATGTCGATAGTCCATAACCGGCTTTGATAAAACAGATTCCAATCGATGAGGAACTGCTTCTAGTTCTAGATTTTATAATATTTATTTTATATTCTATGCCTTTATGAAAGACATGTTCAGCCTTGATTTGTCATATTTTTATAAGATTCTGGAGACGGACGGTAGTGGTTAGCATATGGGGCCTCTAAAACCAAAGGTTACAAGTTCAAACTCCATCCCCGGATAGGGAGCAAAGTGCGAGATAATGATTATCAGCTTGGTGAATCTGAAAATTTACAACAAAATACAACTGCAACAACATTAATGAAAAGCCGACTTGGGCTGCAAACCGTTTGCAGAGTTTTTAATTGTTATAATTTCTCATCCTATCTAGCGTTCAACAGCTTCCGATTCATCATGGCTATCAAGTTCGTGTTCCTTTTTGCTTTCATGGGTAAGTCCTTCTCAAACGTAGGCGGCACGTAGTTAATTTATTTTTTTCCCCCAACGACAGCATTGGCATCCGTATCGGCCGAAGATACCAACGCGATCGACGTGGACAGCTTTCGGCAGCATCTACCCGCCAATCTGCAGAACCTTTCGATGCCAACATTAGACGAAATCGAAAATATCGTCAAGGATAAGTGCATCCAGGCCGGTGGATCGGAAGAGGCCTACGAACAAGCCAAGCAGGGTGCCCAGGATCTGGTCAACTGCATCCAGGGACTGATTGATATCGACGAGTTCAAGAAGGAAGTGGAAGAAGCCAAACCCACCGGGGACTTGGACACCGTGTTCAACAAGTACTGCCGCAAACGAAACACCCTACTGGAGTGCGTCAACACCTTCTCCAATATCATCGATCCTTGCCTGGAGGAAGACGAGAGGCGTCACAAGGGTCACGGAGTGGATGTATTCAGGAACCTGTTGAATTTTGTGTGCCACAAAGATGGAGACCAAATTGCACGTGAGTGTTTCGATACACCTTTTCTTTGTACAATTTGAGGCTAACGGGAGTTGATTTTCAGTTTTCATCGCCGAGAAGGGACCCGAGTGTTTCTTGGAGCAGAAGGATGACCTGATCAATTGCGCGAACAATACCTTCTCTGGATACTTTAAGGATATTGACACCTCTAGCCAAACCATTCCCAAGTTGGTAATCGGACCGAAGCAGTGCGAGTAAGTCGCCCGAAGGGGGGATTTCAATGACTAGGCAATAAATAATGTTTTCAACAAATTTGCAGCGATTTCACCCGGCTACAAAACTGTCTGGTGCAAGAGTTGGAACAGTGCGAGGAATCTACCCCTGCCAACCTTGTCGAATCGTTGTTCAGATTCATGCGAAAGGGCTCGCCATGTGATCCGAAGGTAAACAATTTGCTCACAACTACTCAGTGAACTAATAAGCAATCGTTCGATTTGTTGTTTTCTACTTTTAGGGAAAACAGGGATGAGGGCACAGTCAAGTCTAACAGCAACAACGTTTCGAGAACTAACATTTCTCAATTGTAAATCATCATGCAATAAATGTCAGCTTTAGAATAAACTTGGAATGGGTCGGTTTTGATTGGAAAGAAAGGTTATCTCGATAAGGAATACAAAAACCTGTAATTGAGATAGAAACAAAAACAAATGCGATCCATTGGAGGTGTTTTAATTTGTACTCAAAGTCGTTTGGAATCGATCTCATACAGAAATTCTCATACACAGTGATGAAAAAAAACCAAAAATCCACAATCAGGAACGGTCGAAAAGCACTGATGTACCTGAGATCAGCAAAAATCAAAAACAGAAAATCACGGCTAATTTTATCTTAGCTGATCTTGAGAGTAGCAAAATCACCAAGTAAAGTAAGAAACCGACATCCGCCTCTATTTTGGAATCCAATATGGCGGCCTCCGGACAGTGAATATGCATCCAAACCTGGGTATAGGCTCGATGAATAGAAGCGTAAAATCGACAGTACCATCGCCAGACGGTATATTTCTGGCCATCGAAGCTTTTCACCTTCACATCATATCGCTCGGATAGAGAGGTTCTACTTGGAATCGGCACCGATGACGTGGTACACAATTGAAGCTTGGATGCTTGAACGTTTCTAAGGTGGTGATTGGAATTTTTTGACGGAATTCTAGCTCTTTGATTAACTGATAAATTTTGTCGTTTTCTGATTTCAGTTGGGTGAAGTTCGACATTAGATGATTCCTTTTGAAAAAAAAAAATCATTAAGGTATGTCTCCAGAAAATCGTTTTAACAACTAGACTTTTCTGTGATTATTGTAACATCCTTTAATTCATTTAAGTTTTCAAGTCTTTCCCAGACTTCAAGCAGGTAGTGCTGAAATATATATAGAGGATACGTAATGAAATTAAGCATATTAAAAAATATATATTGCTTACTTGCGCTTCCACTTTCTCCCTTGCTGGAATGCGATTGGATCCCATATAATTATATCTGGGATCCATATAAAGAGATGCTTTAAACTGCAGTATGCCAGTCAGCTTGTTAAGGTGGGTATTCATAGTTTGCAGTTACTTTACTGCGAGAATGTTGGTCATCAGGGCAATTAGTTGGGTCTGGCTGATAATCCATTCGATGAAAAACTCTCATAATGTAACATGTTCCCGTTGAAGACTGATAGTCAAATAAAAAATTGGTTCCAGAGCATCGCAGAACTTTCAACAAAGGCCCAGTGTTGGGAAAATGCTATAAGAAGAGAAAACTTGTAATTTTGTTAATATATTTAAAAAAAAAACACATTTCGGGAATCAGGTAGAACAATTTTTGATCTTGAAGCGATTTAAGCATAAGGAACACGGCATTCCATCTGGTCGCATTCGACAGTCGATAATAATGAGCTTTGTGTTTATTTATTTTGTTTTTCTTCATCGGACTTAACGTGTCTAAATGAAGCCTGATGGGGAAAAACCTAGAAAAAGCGTATAAGCCCCATATCTTTTTGAAATACATGAATCACAATAATACAATACAATTACAACGAACATTAATCAAGTCTATAGCATAAAAAAAGTTATCCTCCTATGGCATAGAGTTGTCCGTGAATCAGGTAGAAGTCCTCGTCATGCACTTGAACCGGAAACAAAAAATAAACAGGTAGCACAATCCTTCACGTGTACATTAAATGGACAGCTACTCACCTTCTCAGAAGTCTGCGTTGAATACGGTGACGAAAGGTTTCCGCTGCACAGTTAAAGTCGAAAAACTCGTAAAACTCGTTGAAACGCCCAGACATGAACCGTATTGGGTCATGCAAGCTGTAGTTCGCAGCACGAGGTCCAAGATGCAGGAAACTCCTCGACCGAAGAACTCGTTCGGGTGCGTAGATTTCTAATTCAGCCAAGATTCCTGGAGAGTCGATATCACCAATAAGTACTTTCGCTGCAAACACGGCCTGACTAATCGTCCGCCTATGTTCTAGTGTTTCAAGACCAACGAGTTGACAACGATCTTCGTACGGCGGAAGGTTCACAGGGACATTCCAAGGAAGGTGACGAAAGGCATACCGAACAAATTTCCTTTGAACAGATTCAACCCTCGCTATCCAAACTGCTTGATACGGGCACCATACTACCGAGCTGAATTCCAAGATCGATCGCACTAGAGAGCAGTATACTGTATACTATATATAGAGCTTTTAGACAGGCAGGATCGCGAAACTCGTCAGCGATCTTGAAAATAAACCCGAGTTGCCTGTTAGCTTTCGCAACGATGCCCGAGTAATGAAGCTTGAAAGTTAAGGCGCAGTCCAGCGTGATTTCTAGGTCACGAACATTGTCCACACGTTGCAGAAGTTGGTGATTTATCGTATAGTTGAATGCCACTGGTTTCAGCTTGCGATGAAATGAGATAATATTACATTTTTGTACATTCAACGTGAGATAGTTTCTTGAGCACCACTCTTCGAAAGTATCGATTAGGTGCTGAAGCCTCAAGCAATCGGCGATGCTACGAACAATCACATAGATCTTCACATCATCCGCGCAGAACGATCGGCAACCAGTTGGGAGGATCAGTCCGGCCTCATTCACAAAAATCGAGAATAGCAATGGTCCCAAGTTGCTACCTTGAGGAACACCGGAGCTGTTTGTAAAATAGTCCGATTGCTCTGATCCGATTCTAACACAAAGTTCCCGATTGGTCAGATAGGACTTGAACCAACGAGTTAAACCCGAGGATACACCGAGTTTTTCAAGTTTAGCTAGCAGTATGGAGTGGTCAACCCGGTCGAATGCAGCCTTGAGATCTGTATATACAACGTCCACCTGCGCTCCAGCTTCCATACTCCGAAGACATAAATAAATGAGCGGAGCTAGATTTGTTGAAACTGGTTTCTTGGGATAAAAACCGTGTTGGTCAGGAGAAATGTAATTTCTGCAGCTAGAGAATAATGCGTCGTTGATGATGATTTCGAAAACTTTAGAGCAGGCACTGAGTGATGTGATCCCTCGGTAATTTTCAACGTTTCTCTTGTCTCCTTTCTTGTAGATCGGGAACATGAATGACGATTTCCAACGCGTAGGGAACTCCCCCTGCTGTAATGAAATATTGAACAGCTTCGAAAGCGGTGTTGTAAGCTCTGAACAGCATCGCTTCAGGATGCTTGAGGGGATCCCGTCAGGGCCAGCAGCATTAGAAAATTTCAGCTTCTTTTGGCAGATTCGACGAGGTCTACTGTAACCAAGGTAATCGAAAAATTGAAAGCATCACTGGGAGTGTCCCTCACCGCTTCAGCAACTTGGGACAACGAAGCCGTAGTGTCATTGAAAATGCTTTTGAAATGTTCTGCCAGAAGATTGCATTTCTCAAGGGAATTGCTGGCGATTCTATCACCCAGGTGAATTTCGACTGGTAGCCCCTCCTCGTTTCGTTTGGTATTCACGAATGACCAGAACTGCTTTAGATTAAGCCGTAAATTTAGCCTGCACACGCCTTGTGTAGCTCTTGTAAAGAATGCGGTTATATGTGCGATATTCGTTGCTCGCTGTTGAAAATAATCGTTTGGTGAATGGGTTACGAGTACGACAGTATTTACGGAGGGCCTTCGATCTCAGACGCTTCAAATTTCGTAGTCGAGCATTGGACCATACGGGTTTGGGAGAGGGTCTCCTCAATGGGACAGAATCAGTTATTGCCCGGCCAACGACCTCAGCGAAGTAGTTGACGGCTTCATCAATAGATGAACACTAGGGTGTTTCATTTTGAAAAAAGTGATGAATTTTTGATAGGCCACCCTCCAGTTCGATTCATAGCCCCAAAATATGAACCTGTGCAAAAAATGGTAAAGATTGATGAAGGTTTAGAGGTCGCGCCAATGATTTGGATTTTGTATGGAGATTTTGGTGAATTAGTATGGGAAATTATTGATTTTCGTTTACATTGCTCTAACTTTGGTTGTAGTTGTCCAAACGTTGAAAAAAAAAAAATATGTGGTTGTCATGACAATGATCAACAAGCCTGTTGTTGTTGCGATGAAATTGGCGTTGTTGCCTTGTACATATTCATCTGTCAATTTACCCTATTTTGCCATTTTTTCACATTTTTATAATTCTTGATACGCTGCAAAACTGAGCGTAGCAACTGTAGGCTTTTTGTTTATTGCCATAGCAATAACATACTAAATTTTTTCGACATTTGGACAAGTAGAAGCAAAGTTATAGCGATATAAGCGATTTTTTAAATTCTTCCATAGTAATTCCCATACAAATTTCAAATCATTGGCGCGACCTCTAAACCTTCATCAATCTTTACCAATTTTTGCACAGGTTCATATTTTGGGGCTATGAATCGAACTGGAGGGTGGCCCATCAGAAATTCATCACTTTTTTCAGAATGAAGCACCCTAATGAACACGTGTCAAGGAACTGCCAATCTGCCTGGGCAAGCGAGTGACTCAGCGCGACGAAATCTGCTCTACGAAAGTCGAGCTCATGTACATCAACAGGGGGTTATCGTAGCGAACAGGAACAGATAGGTTGATGGAAACTTCCAACGCAGGATGATTGGTGTCGATGCCAATCAAAGGCTCTGGGGCTCCTAGGATAGAACATTCCAGGCCTGCAGCTTCGTTCGCCAGAACGAGATCAAGCAGCCGAGAGTTGCTATTCAGTATCGAGTTGATTTGCCGAGAGTTGCTATTCAGTATCGAGTTGATTTGATATTCAGTATCGAGTTGTAGCAGGTTGAAACCATCAAGGAGAGCACAGCATGATGCGGGCATGTTCGAGCGAAGAACATCAATGCTAGGAAGATCGTTTGCAGGAACGTTCCATGAGAGCCCAGACTGATTGTAGTCACCAAATATCAGAGCTAAGTCGTTTAGTTCTAGTCGAGAGAACACGGTACCAATCGAACTGATGTGGTTTGCAATGCAGCCCGAATCAGATTTCCGGTCTGGAGGTAGATACATAGCGCCAATACTTATTGATCTACGAGGCGTCGTTATTTTGACCTACAGCTGCTCTAGAGAAGTGCAAACTGGAGCAGGATCGATGCAGGAGCTTAGGCGTTTGGATACCGCAATCAAGACGCCT